GTGTTCCCGGGGATTATATACCAACAATCTTTGTAACCCTCCTTTCACATGAAAATACTCCTCTGAGGAGTGATGTGTTCTAAACTGATTCCTTCCCCAACAGGAAGAACATAAACCAGCAGGAGCCCTCCTCCTACCTTCTCAGCAGTGCCCACCTTGAGTCTCAGTAATCCTTGTTTACTGCTAACTGGGGGCACTGAGTGTATGAAGAAGGAATGGCTGAATAGGGCAAAGCAGGGGTGGGGGGTGTACTGAAGACAAGGTTCCACCTCTGAGCATACTTGCTTGCCCAGGCTTGGCCTCAACCTGCACGCTGGTGTGGGGAATGATAGCTAGAAAAGGGGGAATACCCTTTTAGCAAGCCAGCATTTCACCCTTAAAACATACCCTCCTCTCTTTTCTGTTGCTGTCCAGTGACTTCCAATGAGCCATTTTTCCTGGTCAGTGACATTCTACAATCCCCTTTCCTGATAAAAGTTGGTGTTAATTAAATGAGGGGAGTGTGTTTTGTGTTGTATTGCAGAGCATTTCATGATATAAAGTGTCTAAGATAAAGAAACCTTTGAAATCCTTGATCTCAACAGCTTTAGAAAAGATGTCACAACCACACTGACATCCAATCTTAATTTCCTAGTATGGCGCTTACTTGTACAGCTTGTAGGAGTTTCATTATATTTTACCTTTACATAATGGTCTTCTGACAATAATTGCACAACTTCCTTAGGTTTCTTTTTCCTGGCTTGACAGCCAAATCTATGGAACTTTAAATTATTGATGCTTTCTAATTTTTCACCATTTGAGGTTTGTGTAATCTGAGGCTTGAAGAAATTTGGCAATAATAATACCTTGCATTCCACTACTGAAACTGTCTCTAAGGTCAGGCATGACCACCAAACCCATAGGTATCTTCCTAGTTTCTGCCAATTGACTGTTGAAAGTGACAGAAGATCCAAAGTAAACCACTTTAAACAAAAAATGAAAAATCTAGCCAAGGAGGGCTTCAGGCACGGTTAGCTTCAGGAACTCAAACAATGTCGTTAAGAACGCAGTCTCTCTCCATCTTTCCTCCCTGTTCTCTGTGTGGCTCAGTTCACAGAAAGACTATTTCCTTGTGTTGTCTCGATGGCTCCCAGAAGCCTCTTGTTTACACCACTCTGGATTCAAGACAAGGAGTCCTGATGTACTGGTTAAGAGCTCTGCTGCCAACCTAAAGGTCAGCAGTTTGAACCCACCAGCTGCTCCACAGGAGAAAGATGTGGTAGTCTGCTTCTGGAAAGATTACAGCCTTGGAAACCCTATGGGGCAGGTCTACTCTGTCCTATAGGGCTGTTACGAGTTGGAATCAACTTGATGGCAATTTTTTTTTTTAATTGTGGGAGGAGCAGTTCAAGACCAGCAAGAAAGAACAAGTCTCTAGTCTGTTCAACCTAACAAAAGTTGGAGATCAGTTCTCACTGGGGCATGTCTAGTGTGCCTGGAACATGTTCCCATCTCTGAGCCCATCACAGTGGCTGGGAGGATGCCCTACCATGACTGGCAGAGCCAAGGTGAGCAACTCAGTCGCAGAGCCGCAGGTACCATCGGTTCCATCAAGGCAAGTGCACTGAGAATGTGGCTGGGCGGTTCCTCTCCAAAGAAACTTACCAGAATAAGGAAGAGAATGTATTCCGGAACAATTGTTCACCACACTCTCCCACCCTTCTGCAGCATTTGATCCTGTGGCCCTTCTTGGAATTCTTCATTCTTGCCTTCTATCACAGTGCCCTCTTCTGTTCATTCTTTGTTTCCTCGTCCTACCTGTGAGTAAAGGTGTGGCCCTGATTCGGTCTGACTCCAGCCCTCCTACCTTAACCAAGTAGAGCTCGGACTCCTAAACTTGCCATCTCCTCCTCTGTACCTCTACCTGCCCTGCTTCCACTATCCAGGCCGCCATTTCCTCTTCCGCTCCTCATGTCTACACATTCATATCTCTATATCCTGGTTCAAATACCTCTTTGTGAATATTCACATCTAATTTCCCTCAAGCCAGAAGTATACCCTCCCTTTCCTCTAAACTCTTTGCCCTCTCTCAAAGATAGAATTTTCTGTCTTATATATTGAACTAGGTATGTGGTCACTGTTGGTTCTTAGCTCCTTGAGAGTGGGAATGTTGTCTGTCTTCATCACTCAGCCCTCTGTCCAATCCCCCACCACTATCAGTCCTTAAATCTGGTGTCTGTTAAGTGAATTTGCAAAGCACTTCCCATGCCATTCACATCCATCATTATATTTGCTTCTCAAAGCAAATCTGGAGGGAAGGTCAGGACAAGTATTATCTCAGCTTTACTTATGATCAAACTAAGGAATGAAGAGGATAAAAGATTTAACTGAGGACCTGTAAGCTAGTTTTGTGAAAAAGCTGGGACTAAAAACCTAGATCTTTAGAGTTACAGCGTGTTATTTTCCAAGAAATACTTACTGTTATGTGTTTCATCATTAAAACCTGGAGAACAGTTGATCAAAAAACAAAAAAAAAAAAAAAACGCATTGCCCTCAAGTGGATTCCGACTCACAGCGGCCCTCTAGGACAGAGTAGAACTGCCCCACAGGGTTTCCAAGCCTGTAAATCTTTATGGAAGCAGACTGCCACATCCTTCTCTCCAATGGTGGGTTCCAACCGAGGGCCTTTAAGTTAGCAGCCAAGCGCTCAACAAGTGCTCCCTCAGGGCTCCTTCAACACTTGATACCAAGTTTAAATACTTTTTACTCTGAGCTTTCACACTCTGCCTGCCAATTAGTGAAATTGTCTGAAGATTTGTTCCTCATATAGTCAAAGAATATTTAAAACGAAGTCCAGATCAAGTGGTTCTGTTCTGGTTTGGGTCGGTATGGGTATTTTTGTTGTTGTGGCTGGTGGGGGTGTCCCCCCCCCCCACTCCCCCGGTCCGGCCTGTCTTTTAATACGCGCTCTCCACCAACAGAAGGGATAAAGTGGATTTTTTTTTCCCCAAAGCGTCTTTTC